AACTTTCACGGGGCCGTACGTGTTACCCGCGGGTAAAAGAAGGCTGAATTTAAATTCGCCGCGTCACCCGTTGGTGGGAAACACTATACCAAAACTTCAGCCGCCTAGCTTTTGTGGTTCCCGAATTGAAAGTGCGGGACAAAATGTGGGACACACAAACATAAAATATACAAATATCATGCCCATTTCTTCCATAAGGCGTGAATAGTTTTATCGGAGCTAAATAATTTCGCAAATTACAATGAAGCACTGCGACCGTCATACTGACGAGGTTCTGCCGCGCGGTGTTAAGACGGATATACGACTTAATAGACCGAAACGTCTTTTCTCAGTCTTACCTTCTCTTATCTCACTCTTTTACCTTCTTGTTTCATACTTTTCTTTCATGCTGTAATCTATCGCTCCTTCGCCATCTGGGCTTCCAGAGTCAACCTTAGTTGCTACAATCAGCTTATATGAGATTTTGAAACTGATTTTTGCTCTTTTATCAGAACCTCGGCATCACAGTCTTCAGTATCAGAATCTGCTGAGGCGTGTCAGGTAGAGTTTCTCCACTTAAAATCAATCCCAAAAGTGCAAGGATGATTTCGAGAATGACAAATCTATTCTGCCTGCATCAACAATTCAGAAACCTGTTGTTGCTCTACAAAAGGGGCCTCCCTTCAGGTTATAATTTCATAATTCGCAGAATTCGAGATGATCACAAAACTGGACCCTGGTCACTCCTTCTTTCCAAATACATAACAAAACAGGAAATACGTTCGATTTCGATAAACAAACTAAAAAAAACCTCCTGTAATTTCTGGATGTGTTTGATAAAATATTCACCAATTCGGCGTGCAACTTTCGTATCCGCAATAATTATCATATCCTGCAATTTAGCATGATCGCGTAAAACCATAGGTAGGTTTCAGTTCTAATAATTATCAATGAATTTTTCAAAAATTAAAAATTAAAAAAAAAAAACTAAATGTTTTACCTTATCAACATAAAAATCAAGATCGGTTGTCGAATCATCAATTTCGCTTCGCTCAGCCGTTTCTTTGCCCAGCTCATTGACAATCATTTTAAACGTTAATAATTTCCCAACAAATGTGTCATAATCGGCATCTGAAAAGAAAATTTTAAAGTCTCAAATTTTAAAGCAGTCCCTACAGCCGCGGAGGCCTTCTGGGCCTCCTTTGTGCGTTACAAATGTGGTAAAATACAGCATCAAATAAATAGCAACGCGCACCAGACTGGTCGGTGCGATCATGCGTTTTGTGCAATTCAGCCCATCGAACGATTGTCTATTAATGAATTTCACTGCTTTGTACTTTTGTCTATGCAAAAATAGTTCAAAAATTGGGAAATAATTAAAAATTTCACGCACTAGCGCATAAAAGCTGAATTCGAAACCTTGAAAGGCGAATATCTTTTCGTGATCCCCTAGTTGATAGTTTAGTCGCCAAAATTCTCACGAGGCGTAGGTGATACTCAACAGCGAGGAAACGCTGAATTTGAATAGGCAAGGTTGAGAATTAGTTATTACCCTAAGCCTCGTGGTTCCCGAAATAATAATTTACCCGTAAAAACTTTCATTAGCCCGTGCGTGATACCCGAGAGAGCGGGAACGCTGAATTTGAATGGGCAAGGTTGAGCGTGGGCAGGATGTCATTACCCTAAAATTTCATTCGCCTAGATTCCGTGGTTCCTAAGATATTAATTTACCCGTGAAAAACTTTCACGGGGCCGTTCGAGTTACCCGCGGGTACGGGAAGGCAGAATTTGAATTTGCCGCGTCACCCGTTGGCGGGGAACACTATACCAAAATTTCAGCCGCCTAGCTTTTGTGGTTTCCGAGTTGAAAGTGCGGGACAAAATGTAGGACACACACACAAACACACACAGACAACCCCATGACAATATGCGTTTTGTAACGCTGTTACACAGCACAAAACGCATAAAAAGGAAAGAGCAAGGCAACTGACCACTAACGTCCATGAAGCTAGCAAGTTTCCGCGTTGGTAGCGTTGTATACAGTTTCAAATAGCCTCGCAAAATTGGAAGCATAATTTGCGATTCAATTCCCTCCAAAAAAGCATTGCACTGGCGGATTAGTGGTTCCTGAAAACTGACTCAGTAAGAAAAACCAGTCGCTACGAAGCAGCTCCTAACTGTGGGCTAAGAGTAGCTTCATATGCACGGCTTGGTCTGTGTTTACAGCTAAGGGATGAAACGTAGGCTACATCGTAAAATGTTCTTCGGCACATGACACTCAAGAGCAACCCTTCTATTCCAATGATTCCTTTTAGAAAGGTAACTACTGAGCTCGTGATCGTAATAAAAGACGAAATGAACGTCCGAATGGACCTGTAGCATTTGCCAAAAAAACTGAAAAAGTTGTCGTTTCTAAAGATGAAGATTCAGACTATGGATTAACAGTAACTGCAGATATTCTAAATGTGTTTTTCAAACAAATTTAGAGCTCCCACTCCTTTTAGACATGTCTCAGATTCACAAATCAGTAAAAAAAACATCAGAAGTATCAAAATTTGACAAATGAGGATTAATAGATGGGTTCTGATGCCATGTAAGTGAAAAATCGTTGTCTAACAGTTAATAATTTGACTATAAAGAACAAATTTGATCAGTGAAAACATTCAAAATAAAAAGTAACAAAATGAAACTAACTTTTGCTTGATTGGTGCCTTCATAAACTACGGTTGTTGGCGACAGGAATTTCGGACAACCTTGTTGAAATGCGAGGCGAAATTCATCAATATCGCTGGAAAAAGAACCAAAATAATAAGCCTGTATCGTAGAAAATAATGGTATTTTCATCAAAAAATAACAAAAAATTTTCTGAACTGCCCTGATTACATTCTACGTTTTTTATGCGTTTTTTGCAGCTATGCAATGCAGCAAACGCATATT